CACCCCGAACCCCTCGATTAGATTCCAGTCTGTAACTCCCTCCCGGGTATATTATTCTTGATATATAATTTCTGAGGACTGTAAATGCAAGTGTGGGCTCGAACCTGGTGTCTCATTTCATTTACAGAGACCTGTGGTAAGTTGCTGACTGTATTGGTGTGGACTTTAATGGGAGGTTTGAGATTGTTCGAGTTGGATTTATTCTCAGGCTGAATGTTGAGACTGCATTGAAGGGACTGCAGATCTCTCTGGCTGTGCAAGGTGGAACCTGCCAGTGAATGTCCAATGTTGTAACAAACAGCTGATGGTCAGGACATTGTTCACCTCACTGCTGTCCCCATGGTGATGTGCAGAATGGTGATGGAGATGGGGGGGTGTATGTGGAAGGTGTGGGGTGGTCTCATCTGTTTACTGGGCTGAACTACCCAGGGCAAAGCCTGTGGGCAAGACGTGGCTGCTCCCTCATGTTGGCACAGTGGCCCATTCTGGTTAGCCTGCTGTGGTTGAGTTGTTGGCTGGTTGTGTCGTCGGGGACAGCAATATCCTGTTCTCGTCACCGGCTCTGCCAGGTGGCTCTGGTCAGCAGTAACCCGGTGCTGCTGGTCTGTGTGAATGGGCCAGGACAGGAGGGAGAGTCCTCCTGGTTTTATGTGAACAACTCGGAGCCGGAGTCCAGGCAAGTCCAGCTGCTGGTGTCCAACCAGATTCGGGGAGCCAGCTGGGATGGGGAGAGTGATGGGCTCCTTCTCCACTCACCCACCGTCTGGGACTCTGGTGTTTACCTGTGCCGCGCAGGGGCCAAGACCCTGACCTATTATGAGGTGGATGTGCAGGATGTGAAGCAGCTACACCTTTCGGGGGGGTTGCTGGGTGGGACAGTTCTGCCCAACCTCAGGGTGGACGTCGGAGGGCAGGGGGTGGACATGTTCACTGTCTGGAGCCCCTGGGGGAGCTGTGACCACTGTGGTGTCCCAGGGCACAGGAGACGCCTGGGTTTCTGCTATGCCCAGTCATTGAGTAGTGCCAGGGAGCCCCTGCCCTGCGGCCTGCTTTCCCTGGGGCCATGGAAGCTGCCCCCCCGGGGTCCCGAGCTTTCCCTCGAAGTCTGCCGCATCCCCTGCCAGCCCTCTCCCATGTCCCCAGTCCATCGTCACCTCCTCCCAGGTGGGCCCCTGATGTTAGTCAATGAGAGCCGGGTCCTCCTCTTTGAGACTTACCTGGTCAACATTCACAGCAAAGTGACATTCCACTGCCCGGGCTCCTCCATCTACAGCCCAGCAACCTGGCAAAGGGAGCTTGCCCATCACGGGACCAGGAGGAGGCATCGGAAGGCCATCAGGGACCTTACTCAGCAGAGGACTAGTAGGAGCGTCTCTCAGCAAATGGGAGGCGCCGACTCCCTGGACCAAGCCACAGGCAGCAGCACTTACACCATCCAGAACATCGAGATTGCAGATGAAGGAGTCTACAGGTGTTTCGTCTCTGACAGACTGGCTGCCTCTTTCCACCTTAAGGTCTTTAATCCGTTCAGGAGGAGGCTTATCATCGCCCACCGTACCATGGGATGGATCTGGGATGTCCTGCTCTCCCTCGGCATGGTCTCAGTGCTCCTAGTGGTGTTAACCTTTTTGTACATGTACTGCAGGTATACCCGCCGTCACCAGATTGTCCAGTGGTAAGCAACATGGCGAACGCAGAGATAGAAACTCCTGGCAGGGAGTTACATGCAGGGAGTTCCTCTGGACGGAGGATTAGAGCCAGCAGAATCATTGCTGCAGATGGTGAGAGAATGGCAAAGACCCTCTGACCCCCTGGGTATTTTCTCTCTGGTCCCAGGGCAACACTGAAGGTGATGGGCAACAAAGTTGGCTCTAATTTGCACGTCCCCTTTCTCAAGGACCGTTTGAAATGTTTCATTCCCTGTAATCAAATTCAACTTCAAAGCACAGGAAAGCAATTATCAGAAATTGTGATAAAGCAATCTTTTCTTTTTTAACAATAAAAGTTTACATGTTTAAACAGTGACGTTCTGTTGTGTTTGTACTCTCAAATTCCACAATCCATTCCCTCCTTCTTTGTATTTATTGAGAGCCTTGATTGGTGATAGGTAAAGATTTGATAAAACTGTAGAATGCACAGTGAGCAGTTGGGGGGAGGGAGGGAGAGGTTAGATCAGTAGTAGACATGACAACATTCCACTCTAGCCCTTTTATAGGATTATAGAGTTTTTACAGCACAAAAAAAGGTCCTTCAGCCCATAGAGTCTACACAAGTCTCAGAGGGCAGCATGGTGTCTCAGTGGTTAGCACTGCTGCCTCACAGCACCAGGGTCCTGGGTTCAATTCCAGCCTCGGACAACTGCCTGTAAGGAGTTTGCATATTCTCCCCGTGTCTGCATGGGTTTCCTCCTGGTGCTCCAGTTTCCTCCCACGGTCCAAAGATGTGCAGGTTAGGTGGATGGCCATGCTAAATTGCTTGTAATGTTCAGGGATGTGTGGGTTATAGGGGGATGGGTCTGGGTGGGATGGTCCAAGGGCTGGTGTGGACTTGTTAGGCCGAAGGGCCTGTTTCCACACTGTAGGGATTCTATGATCTATGACCAGTCATCAAGTATCCATCTACTCTCGTCACATTTTTCAGCACTTGACCCATAGCCTTGCATACTGTACCATTTCAAGCACTTATCCAAATACTTCTTCAATGTCCCACCACTCTGCTGAGTAAAAAAAAAATCTTCCTCACTCCTCCAAACTATCTGCAACTTACCGTAAAGCTGCCCCCTGGTTATTGACCCTTCTGTTTAGGTGGAACATTTTTCCCTATCTATTCTCTTTACCTCAAACAAAACTTGTCCCACTGCAACACGCACACACACATGTACACGCATGCACACATACATGCACAGCCCTCTCTGCTCCGGTAACAAATCAACAGTTCTATTGTTAAACCATTTACCATGGAGAGGATAGAAAGGATAACTTGAAGACAGAGGGCAGTATTGAGATATGGTTGAGGATGATATTGGGAGGAGAAAGCTTAATCATGACTGAGGTGGAGATCACATAGGAGTCAGGGTCAAAGATATTGAAAGTTTAGTCAAAAAGAAAGCATATGTAAGGTTTAGGAAACTGAAATCAGACAAGGCCCTTAAGGATTATAAAGGAAGCAGGAAAGAACTTAAAACAAGTATTTAGGAGGGCTAAAAAGGGCCATGAATTGTTCTTGGCAAGTCAGATTAGGGAGAATCCCATGCATTTTATGTGTATATCAGGAGCAAGAGGGTAACTAGGGAAAGATAGGTCCACTTGAGGAGAAAGGAGGGAAGTTATGTATGAAGGCAGAGGAAGTATGTGTCCTTAATGAGTACTTCACATCAGTATTCACCAAGGGAAAAGGCATGGATGATGGTAAGAATAGGGAAGGTTTTGTTGATATTCTAGGACATTTTGATATTAAGTTGGAGGAGGTGCTGGGTGTCTTGTAAAATATTAAAGTAGGTAAGTCCCCAGGGCCTGATGGGATCAATCCCAGGATACAGAAGGAGGTAAGGAAGGAGATCGCTGGGGCCTTGACACCGATCTTTGTGTCTTCTTTAGCCATGGGTGAGATCTCAGAAAACTGTATAATAGCCAATGTTTAAGAAGGACAACAGGGAGAATCTAGGAAATTATAGGCTGGTCAGCCTTATATTAGTGGTAGGAAAATTATTGGAGAAGGTTCTTAGGGAGAGGATTTATTCACATTTGGAGAAGAAAGGACTTTTAGGGCCTTGTGCAGAAGAGATCTTGTCTCAAATTTGGTTGAGTTTATTGAGAAAATGACAATGATTAGTGAGGTTACATCAGTGGATGTTGTCTATGGACTTTACAAAAGCATTTGACAAGATTCCTCATTGCAGGCTGGTCCAGAAGATTGAGTCACATGGAATCCATGGTGAGTTGGTAAATTAGATACAAGTTGGCTTGGTCATAGAAGATAGAGTGTAGTTGTGGAGTATTTCTGACCAGAGGTCTGTGACCAGTGATGTTCCAAATGATCAGTGCTGGGACCACTGTTATTTGTAATATACATAAATAAGTTGAATGAAAATACATATGGTCTGGTTAGTAAGTGTGCAGACAACATGAAAATTGGTGGAGGTGTCGATAGAGAGGAAAGTTATCAAAGGATACAGCAGGATATAGTTCAGTTGGAAAGTTGGGTGGAGTAATGTCAGATGGGGTTTAATCCAGACAAGGATAAAGTGATGGCCTAGTGGTATTATTGCTGAACTGCTAATCCAGAGACCCAGCTAATGTTCAGGGTTCAAATCCTGCTACGGCAGATGGTGAAATTTGAATTCAATAAAATTCTGGAATTAAGAGTCCACTGATGACCATCAATCCATTATCGGTTGTTGGAAAAACTCATCTGGGTCACTAATGTCCTTACCTAGTCTGGCCTACATGTGACTCCAGGCCTACATCAATGTGGTTCACTCTTAATTGCCCCTAAACAATTAGGGATGGGCAATAAATGCTGGCCTAGACATCAATGCCCACATCCTGTGAATGAATAAACAAAAAGGTCAAATGCAAGAGGATAGTATACAGTAAATGGCAGGATCCTTAGGAGCATTGATCTACAGAGGGATCTTGGAGACCACCAAATCCACAGCTCCCTGAAATTGGTAATTTGAGTAGATAAGGTGGTAAAGCAGGCATATAGCATGCTTACCTTCATCGGTCAGCAAGTGAGTAAAGAAGTTGGCAAGTCACATTGCAGCTGTGTAAGACTTCAGTTAGGCCACATTTGGAGTGCAGTTCTAATAACCACACTGCAGGAAGGATGTGGAGGCTTTGAAGAGGGTACGAGAAAGGTTTACCAGGCTGTTGCCTGGATTGGAGTGTGTTAGCTATAAAGAGAGATTAGACAGACTGGGATTGCTTCTGCTAGAGTGTCTGAGACTGAGGTGGGTGGGTTGGGGTGTTGTTGGTGGATCTGATAGAAGTCTGTATAATTATGAGGGGCACAGATAGTTGGAGTCGTTTTCCCAGGGTGTAAATGTCAAATACAAGGGGTCACAGGTTTAAGGTGAGATGGGGAAAGATTTTTATATGGAGGGTGGTATGTGCTGCCGGGGAAGGTGGCAAAAGTAGGTATAATAGCAACATTTAAGAGGCATTTAGACAGACGCATGAACAGGCAGGGAATAGAGGGATACAGACTATGTGCAGGCAGATGGGATTAGTTTAGAATGGCACCATGGTCGGCACAGACATAGTGGAATGAAGGGCCTGTTCCTGTGCTGTACTGTTCTATGTATGTTCCAAATGAGGTGGGGATTCGGGGTTGGGGGGATAAGAGATTGTGGGATTGTAATTAAAAAACATAGGCAGGCTGTGACAAAGTACAGGAACATTAGAAGTGCACAATGTAAATGTAACTGGCAAATAAAATAAAATATTGATCAGTGTGAGGTATAGAAGAGTAAAACAACTTCATATTGGGTGAATCATAGATCATAGTATCCCAACAGTGTGGAAACAGACCCTTCAGTCCAAGACGTCCACACCGACCCTCAGAGCATCCCACCAGACCCATCCCCCAAAACCCACTGAATCTACACGTCCCTGAACACAGCGGGAAATTTAGCATGGCCAATCCACCCTAAACAGGCACATCTTTCAACTGTGGGAGGAAACAGGAGCACCCGGAGGAAACCAACGCAGGCACAGGGAGAATGTACAAACTCCACACACACAGTCGCCTGAGGGTGGAAATTGAACTCTGAACAAAATACGATAAAGGGCTGGAGAGGATGACCTCGAGAGATAATCCATTCAAAACAGTATAATAAACTCATTTTTAATTTAAGTCAAGGTATGTTTCTAACAGGAATTAATGTAAAAACAACGTGGATAACTTTAAACTTAATGGAAACTTCATTTGTTTTCTCTCAGAGCACTGTGCACAGTTCTGATTTCTGTATCCCTCAGACCACATGGGAGCGTTGTGCACATTCTAGTCTCCGTATCCCTTGGTTATACCGCACTCAGAGCACCGTGCACAGTTCCAGTCTCCGTATCCCTCAGTTAGACCCACAATCGGAGCACCGTGCACAGTTCCAGTCTCCGTATCCCTCAGTTAGACCCACACTCG